GACGCGGTGATCCACTCTGGCAGCTGGTGCACGCATAGCCTCGTTAAAGCTGTTGCGTGCCACCGTACACGGATATTTGCAGCGAAATAATAGCCGGAGTCTATATTATATTATACCGGGTGTCCCAAGAATGTCTCGCAATCCGAAAGTGGCGGGTTCCTCAGGTCATTTGAAGCAACTTTTTCCTTTGGAAAAATTTTCTCCGAGGCAGCATTAGCGAGTTATTAACGAAAAACAGTGACCAATGAGAGGCGAGCTCAGCTGCCGCGAGGTGGCCGAGCCAACGGCGCCAGCGGTCGAGCGGTCGAATCCCAGCTCATCTGACGCGAGACGGCCGAGCCAATGAGCGGAACTGGGCTTCGTGCGCTGTTTGGCTGGGCCGCCTCGCGTCAGCTGAGCTCGCCTTTCATTGGTCACTGTTTTTCGTTAATGAAGAAGCTGCTTCAAATGATCTGAGGAACCCGCCATTTCCATATTGCGAGACATTTTTGGGACACCCTGTATATCTATATCTATATAACCGCGAAAGTTGGCGAATGTCAAGCGAAAATAATTTGTGAAGCCGGTTGTGTAAACAACTCGAGCGAGACGTCGCTCGGGTTTGTTAAAGTAAACAGGATACCATGGCGAGCCGATACCGCGGAACAGCATGATTCAACGGTCCCGTTTGGCACCGCGATCCCCTCGATTCCCGCTGTGTTCCAAGAAAACGCTAATACGTCGATATCGGTGCCAGTTGCCGGAAGTGGCCGGGCGACATCAACGTCGACGAAGGACGGGGAGAAGTCGAGCGCGAAGAAAGAAGAAGGAGACGAGGATCCCGTTGGCCTCATCCTGCCGCGCGATGCGGACAGAGGCAAGGAGGGAGCTTAAGCATGCACGTCGCGCACGAACGCGAGGCCGAAGGCGGACGAAGTGGAGGGTGGCCGAGGGTGGCGGAAGGAAGAGGAGTAAGCAGAAAAACCGATCGTTGTCAGGGAAACGAAGGAAATCTGCATTTTGTCAAACTGTCGTAGGAAAGTTGGTGGCTGCGCCTGCGAGGACGACCGACGGGGGTGAAAGGTGAGGACGGCGTGGGTTCAGAAAGGTGAAGGGAGCGATAGTGTGTGCGCGCATGAGAGAGACAGAGAGAGAGAGAGATGCCGAGGGATTGTTGGGTCGAGGGTGGAAAAAGGAAAGAGGAAGAGCCACGGCCGGCCTCCAAAAAGGAAGCAGGAAAGTTTGGAGTAACTCTCGGGCGTGCTGTTATCTAAACCCTTCACGTACCTCTTGAGTAGTTCGGGGATGAAGGAGAATGCTTTCTTCCCCGCGCTCTGCGACGGGAAAATCCATCGAATTACTTTCGATAACGATCCCGCCGACGGTATCTTTTACCTCCGCGTCCGACGGCGACGACTTCTCGAAAGAGTCGGGGCCCGTCTGACCGGGAATTATGTGTCGCAATGGTTTCGAACTCTTTTGCCGACGAGAGCAAGCCAGTCCTCGACATGAGGGCTGCTATCGAGCCGTCTTTGGAACTATTGCAGTGCCGTGTCCCAAGGGATTCGCGCGTTTTCAGTGGAACGATCTTCGCAGCTATTGCTGTTGGTCTAGAGAGCGAACTTGAACTATGTGGGAGGAACAAGAAGATTCCTGGGCGAAGCAAAGTGTATGTGGAAGGGATCAAGCACATTTCTGAGAGAAGTCAAGCACATTTCTGAGAGAAGTCAAGCACGTTCGTGGGAGGAGCCAAGAGAAATGAGTGGAAAGAATTAATGTAACAGCTGCTACAACGATTACTCCGCGATCTATGATCATTGCTCGAGGTTCATCACGTGAACTTGATCCCGTGAGGGGAGTTGACGTTGATGTGGGTGACGCTTAGAAGTTGTAGGGTAAAGACGCCTGTGAATAATAATAATAAGTGTCTAACAGTGTGCGCGTGTAATGTATAGCAAATGATAAATATATTTGTCAAACGATAATAACGATGAACTAATCGACGATATAACGATAACGAGAAAACGATGACAACGGTAACGAAGGAAACTAATAATAACGAAACAACAACGATAAAGATTCTCAACAAAGAAAATATCGTCCGCTATGTGTGTGTCGTTCGATCGTTCAATGCTTTTTAACGAAGTCGACTCGAATGACAAGGGATGTACGGTCTTCGCAGTCGACGCGTTTCCGAATTGCTAAAAAAGAAAGGAGACTTCTCATAAAACAATTTCGGAAAAAGCCTATGAGGCGACGTCTGTCTGGGCCATTCAAACGACAAGGCCCAAGAACTGGACTTCATCACTCTTACCATCGGTCCTTGAGACTCGGCCGCGTACGGCACGCAAATGGGGCGACCGAAAATTCCTTCGCGTTGCGGGTCAGCTACAAAGTAATTGTGGAGAGCGCCAATCAAAATTAATAAGATAAGCGATAGCGAAGTGAAATGTGTTCTTAAAGAATGTAATTTTAACGATTAATTAATTATTGTACTTCGTTTCCACGCTAAACAACATTCGGGGTGGGTTTCACCCCTTTAAACCGAATTGTCGCCGGTATAAATATAAAAAATAAAAAATATAATATTATAGTATTATAATATTATAAATATAATATTTAACTAATTACTGTACTTTGTTTCCACGCTAAACAACATTCGGGGTGGGTGTCACCCCTTTAAACCGAATTATCGCCGGTATAAATATAAAAAATAAAAAAAATATAATATTATAAATATATAATAAATATAAAAAAACACGTGTCGCTTCTTTTTTCGAATACTACAATATATTTGAAGAAGAAAAACATCGGAGTAGGTCACTTACTTAATGTTCCTCGTAAGTAGTAGCCTCTTTGCTTCGAGGAAAATGACCGAAACAATTACTAACAACATATAGAAGGTTGTTTCCCCATGAAAATGAACCAAAACCAGCGCCCCAACGATATCTTTGACCGAAAGAAGATCGCGGCTCCGATCGATCAAGAAAATTGAAGGGAAAATCGCTTTCCTTGCGCGCAGCTTTCGATGCTACGGCAATCTTTCGCCTTCGGCGTCCCCTAAAATTCTTGCAAGATAGCACTTGGCCCGAATGTCACCTCGAAACCACTCCTCGCGTCTCGCAAACGATTCGAAAGCGAAGTTCCGAAAGGTTCGCCGATTCCGCGGCTGCGAGACGCGAAATAATGCGATACCTCTGTAACAGCCTCGGAACCTTCCTTGCGGGAGAGCGCACGGTTCGCAGACAGTTTGGGTTAAGCTCCCGGCTGATGGTTTTAAAACCGTCTGAAAAAAGATGCCTCCGCGGAGTGTCTCCTTTCACGCTGGATAAATCTCGTGCGGCCGACAACCTGCCTGAAAGGAGATAAGCGTCCGCGAGAAAAGAACTCTTCCCTTTTTTTCCCTCCCTTTCTCCCCAGCCTCCGTCCGCAGGCTCGACGTTGCGTCGTCTGCGTCGTCCGCGACGGACAGTGCAACTTCTCACCTCGCACCGTTTGCCCCATAGCTCGACCCCGCTCCGCCCTCATAAATAATAAATGGGTAAATGGGGATCCGGCGGACGGCCGGTACATTTAGCTCCGTCTCAGCCGGCCGGATGTAAAGTGTTCCCACCTCCCCCTATAGCAGCGCGAGACGGTTTCGCGCGCAAATCTCGCTCGCGGCACTCCCTCCACCTTCTCGTTTCACTCTCCCAGCGAAACATCCCTCTTTCGAAGAGAAAAATCTAGCGAACTTTTGCATTTCGCACCACAGCCGGAGCTTATGGTGTCACTGATCTCGCGTTACCAGAATCTTCGGATAGAGCGTGTCTTCGTTAACACGCTCCCTGTTGACTATGAAGTGTCTCGCGGCAAGTGTGTTTATTATATCATAAATGCCACTGAGAAGATTTAACACAGTTTTGATGTTTTCATTCATGTGCTCTTTAATCCGTAAATTACTGTGGTCGCTACTAATAGGCACTTTGAAAATTTGCTTTCGAAGTACAGTAATGTCTCTAATTGATGCTCAGGTTGTCCACAAAAATGGACAATTCGGGAAGAGGAGATACGATTCTTGCGTCTCGCTTTCATAGTTACGGATTGTCAAGAACTATAAAAACGAGCTGCAAGGCTCGAATAATCGTATCTCTTCCCAAATAGTGTCCACAGCATTCTAACTTTGTCAATTAGGGAGACATTACTGTATTGTTAACGCGTATAGGCATCCAGGTTTCTGACGAGTATAGGCGATCGGCAAATTTGATCAGACATTATTACAAAAATATTTCAAAATAACTTTGCGTCTATAGGATTTGTTATCCCTTTGCTCTACGATTTAAGTTTCAAGAATGTGTGCCACAAACAACAACGAGATTCAGAGTTGCGGGAGACGTCCGAAGTTGTGCCAATCGCGTATTTCTTACAGAATGTAAATACAGCGACTCCCGTTAATATTCGGACACTGTTCGAAACGCTACAGCTTTTTTAGAACTGGACTACGCGACTTGAATTCTTTTTTTAGATGATAGAACGACCAGTCTACTAGACCATAACTAGAATGCTTCTTTTAAATATTGTCATTGCTTAAAATGATAAAATAAAATAAAAAAACTCTTAACTGTTTCATCTGAGCCTACAAAGAAAATTTAAAAAATTTGTTTCGTAGATCTCGGTAAGTTACTCACATGTTAGAAATTTCACAGAAATAACATATATTTCACAGAAATAACATTACAAATAAGTAAACAATTAAAGATCGCAAAAATCGCAGCACGCATCCAGTTGGTTGCTGCGCCACCTTCCTTAGCTACTAATAAAATAAATAAATAACGAAAAACAAAACACGTATCCTCTAGTCTAGCACTAGTCTAAGCAGTTAAGTTTATATTTGATCTGACTGACGCATCGCGGCTCTCATTTCTGGCCTGATTTTTTACCACGTCTCTCAGACGTAATAATCATTTCTGACCCGATTATCTGACCACGTCTCTCAGACGTGGTTATAGGGCAAATGGTTAATATTTAAAAAAATGCCGATGAGTTCAATTTGATCAGAAAACATATTTTGAATTAAAATAGCTTCGAGTGCAAAAGGTTAAGTCTCTCGAAGAACGTGCAGATATCTCGAGTAATTTTTTCGGTGCCGCTAAACCAAGGACACGAAGAAGTCAAGCAGTAAAAAGCAAATCTGCACGTTCGCGTATACGATTTGAAAGCTCGCTGCGATTCGAACTAAACGGGCTCGCGTTAAACTCGGTTCAATCTCGTCCTCTACGATTCCCCAATCGCTTGAGCGCCAAATAAACGCGCCCGCTTGATCGCCGGGCAAAGTAAAACTTAATGCAGAAGCTGCCGATCTCGTAACTCGAGCATCCTGCAACGGGGCAGCTATTGGTCCGGTCAACACGTCGAAACGACGGTGGCGAACATTCAGGAACGAATCGATTCCCTACGGCCTGCGTTTACATAATTCCGTTCGGGGCGTTATCGTTCGGCGTGGGCGTCGCGACGCGCGACCGGTGTTTCGCGGCCGTGATTACCGTCTAACCGGGTCGCCTCTATTTGCAGTAAAAAAACGAGATTGTTACGCGAAATCGATGCTGCTCTCTTGCCGACTTCTTGCTCCTCCTTGCCCGGCCTCTCTCTCTCTCTCCTCGGCCCTCGTTCGCCGATAAATCGTGAGTAACGATAATCGCCCGAGCGACCGCTTAAAAACTCGACCGGTCCCGGAGCTGGCTCAGTATCTGTTCAAATTCGATTTCGCTGCGGCGTAATTCACTAAAATCGGGATTCTCTTCGGTCTCGGTTTTACTGGGCCGTAATCCTGAATGGGCAATGCGAGCAGCGTCGTCGGAGGGCCGCCGGAGTTCACGATCTTCCTTCCGGCACGTGGATGTGCCTCGGGACGACACGAGGCCAGGTAACGGAACACCATCACCGCCAGGTAATAGACCAGCTCGATCGCGCTGAGCAACGAGCCGCCCAGGAACAAGCCGATTATCCCGCCAAAGGACACTGCGAAACAAACATTCTACGTTTCTCCCGATTTCCCAGAAAAACCCGCGAACTGATCGTGCTGGGATCAACCAGGGCAAGTGTGAGTATTACTGCGGACGTCCCAAATACTGCGGTATTTTATAAAAGTAATAAAATCTAACATTTTATGGCGAATCTCATAATTTTTTATGTATTTAATATTGATAATTCATGACATGCAAGTAACTGACTTTTGATATTCGGGAGCTGAAAATGAAAACGTTGAGTCATCAGCTGTGCACGCTGATTCGAAAGGCATTTATATTTTGGTAATTAATAATAAACTATTCACTTTAGCGTTATTTTTAAAGTAATCGTTACTTTGATAAAAAATCGACGTACACTGTTGCTATCATGTATCCTCAAATATTATTTACTAACACAGTATTTGGTGCATAAGTTTGAACTATGTGCATACATTACTGCAGAGTTTTACTGAAAATCGTAGACTAAGTTACTAATTTGTAAAGTGCTATAGTAAGAATATCTTGATCCTGGGAATTGTAGCTGCGTGAGTACATTTAGAAAAAAATGAGTTATGTTACTTTGACCCGCAGTAATCGGAACGTTCGCGATATTTGGCTCGCAGTAATAGATACATAACCGCAGTAATATATGCACACGTATGGCTTCTTTATATTACACTTTTTTATGAAATTCGTGCTTTCAGAGATTCAATGTTATGAGAAAAATAAATATTCAAGTTAAAAATAATAGGTATAGCTCAAGTTGTCAATTTATTGGCGTGAAAGGTCCTATTTTCTCTGTCAAAGTTCGCCTTCATTGCGGAACCACAGTAATACCTACACTTACACTATGTCACCGAGTCAATTGCTCGCGATGCTCGAAATGCTTCGTCGAACGCTTCCTCGAACAATCAAGGGAAATAGTCGAGAAATCAAATTCATGCAAATTCTTTTAGGGCATTTTTACGGCCTTTGGATAAGTCCGTTTGATTTAAATCAATTTTCTGTTTGCTGGCGGGGGTAGAGTGAAAATATAAGTAGCCGATCAATCCTGCTGAAAATTTTTCACGATCTGAAAACCTACTGCTACCTCGGCTAATAAATTCGAGTCTCTCAGATTAAAATTTCGTACTGTCTTCACGGCTGAAAGTTGATTGAAAGTCGTAATCCGTCACATTCCCCGAACTGTGCGATTTTGAGAAATTTTAACTTGCAAGGCTCGCTCTAATTGGAACGGCTATATTCAAGAAGATTGAATGTCTCTCTGTGATCTTTGTGTCGGGAATCAATGTACTATTAAGTATTGAGTTGTTCGGAAAGTTCGTATTGATTTTCAGTGGGTGACGTTGATGCGGGACTGAATACAGTAAATTCTCCCCAATTTTTCCTTCCTTTGCCAATCGTTAACAATTATAAAAACGAGGCGCGAGGCCCGAATAATCGTATCTTCACTTCTCAAATTATCCAATTTTGTTTACAAGCTGAATGAAAATTAGGGAGAATTTCTGTGAATTATTGAAAAATTACTGTATATCAAAATTGATAAATCCAAATGACTCGTGTACATATTCGAACAGATGACACTTCAGCCAAGTTTGCAGAACGTTTGATTAGGATAAATTCATTTGTGTCAGTTTTTTAGCCTATTGACGATGGAAGAAAATGAAGTACATTTCAGACATTTAATGTGATTTTATCACCGCAGAGGTCAAAATGCCACACAAGCAAGAACTATGCGCAAGTGGTTCGCGAAATTTAAAACCGAAGATTTTAGAGATCAAATAAAATCATAGATCAAAAGTTCACCACACCATGGAGAAAGATTGTGGAACGGAACGGTGCATACATCGTTGATTAAATATTGTTGCCTTCTAATTTTCCTGAAACATTGTCACAAACTTTTCGGAACAACTCGCTGAAAAGATTGACGAAGAAATGGTTGACACAGAAATAAAATTAAAAGCAGAATCGCATTGCCGGATCGATTCCTTAGCGTTGAAAATTACTTAATTCTGGTTCTATTGGTTTCGCAGCGGCGGCGGCGGAAGCGTTCGCCGGCGACACAAAAGCAAAGTTTTCGCGAGCCCCGGCTCCTGGAACCGCGGCCAAAGAAATGTAAATCTCCGGCGAATCGGATTGCAGATTTTCTGTCTTGAATGAGCGCGGCTGTCGTATTCTTAGCGAGAACAACGGAGGCTAGCTTCGTACATTTGAATATGAATTCGATTCAACTGGCCAAAGTGGTATGTATCTGGCAATTTAGCACCAAATTTGAAGCTTTGCAAGCGCCATCTTGATATCCCTGGATGAATAGAATCTTTTGTTTCGACTGCTTAAGTAATAACAGCGGATGTAAGTTCCTCGGCGCATGAAATATTGCGAGCAAAGGGACTATAAAAGGAAGATCAAATAATAGAATTTTGACACGAATTTAGGCAATCGTTCCTACCGGGATATGATTCGAGAATATTTCAAATCTCGATCTATTGGGTTGGCAACCAAGTAATTGCCGATTTCAGTTATTGATGTCTCTCACTCCCATTTTTATGATATCCGTAAATGTTATATTATAAAATTATTATTATTATTATTATTATGTTATTTTTTTAGTATCCGTGAATGTTAGCAACTGGACAGAATTGGTCAATCGTAAATGTGTCATTTTCCAGCAGGACAATGCTAGGCCGCACACGTCTTTGTCCACTCGGCAAAAATTGATGGATATTGGTTGGGAATTGATGTTACACCCACCATATAGCCCTGATCTCGCGCCATCGGATTACCACTTATTTCGATCCCTGGACAACTCCCTTCGTGGTAAAACTTTTAACGATGATGACGCTGTAAAGTCTCACTTAACTCAGTTTTTGGCCAAAAAGGATCAGACTTTCTACGAGCGTGGAATTTTCAAGTTGTCGGATAGATGGCAAAAGGTCATATCGAACAAAATGGAAAATACATTACAGATTAAACTTCATTCCAAGTAAAAAAAATTTTTTATTTCATCGAACAAATCGGCAATTACTTAGTTGCCAACCCAATAGAAATACGAAGATCCAGCTAGCCGTATCACGGCTGAGAAAAATGCGACGGTCGCGTGTGAAATGGTTCGTTATGGGAAGCTTAGTGGACGGGATAAATCGTGGCATAATCACCGAGAAAATTGATGCGAGTGTAGACCAGGTCCATCTTGTAGCGGAAGTTCGTCTGGCTGGAGAAATGCACGTCCACCGTGATGTCCGCCGACTGATACAACCTCACCGCTGATAAGTGCGGTGTGTAGATGTTATAGTCGCAGCCCGGCGGACAGTTGCATATCACTGGATCCTTCTCAAACGCCTCCTCCTCTTCCGTTAAGATATTATCTCTATACAGGTCTTGCGAGCCATTCGAAACTTACAATTAGCGAAACCTTTCAGAATTTCGGAACGAGTCGTCATTCTTACCGTTGTGATCGGCTAGACAGATGAAGTCGGATACGTTGCACTCGCGCGTGGAACCTGCGAAGCAACATCAGTGTCACGATAAAGGGGAAACGTTGAGTCAATTTTTTGGCAATGATTGTTTTTGAAAGAATTGTTCGAACGGCTTCCGGATTGTTAGTTCGTAAATGAAAATTTTCTGTCTTCTGGCTTACTGTCTGCTCAAGTTGTATACACGCATATTTTAGTATTATCTTTAACGTAACGTCAAGGTTATTTATGTATCATTTTAACACTATCGAACCATTCATATCGACTGGTTTCTGATTATTTCTTTCGCAGTTATTGGAGTTATAGAATAATTAGATATAAGATAATAATTATAGAATAATTCTGTTGGGGATATTATCTTCAATTTATAAATAAATAATAATAAATTATGAATAATCTCCTATAGAAATTTCTTTCGTTTGTTAAGTTCTAGTAAATTCGATCTTGTCATTGTTATAAAACAATATGTCGTACAACACATTAGTTGTGTTGACACATTAGTCCTAACTGTTTAAAAATACTAAAAATAAAGTAGCTGGAAAACAATTGTACGAGCATTCGTGACGACGTACCGGCTGGAAACATGAACGAAGGATTGCACCCGCAGTGTTCGATGGTATGCTTCTGCTTGCAAAACGATATGCAGGTCTCCTGAGCGTAGAGCATCTCGGGCTTGTGTCTGCAAGGCGCTCTGCTTTCGTCGAGCTCCAGAATCGATTGGGTAGCGAACCCGGAGATGCAATCGAACGATACGGTGGTCAGCGAGTTCGCTGGGATCACTCGCCCGTTGTTGGGCCACACTCTCGGGTCGTCCAACATGAATAAAATACCGTCGGACTCGTCTGGAAAGTTTCGAAAATATTTCTTGATACCCCCGAAACGCGAATCCCCATTCAAATCGTGCAGAGACGATTACCCAAAGTCCTTTCGATCCTCCACAATACTTTTATTGTGTTACTCCACGCTCGGATGGGGATAGAAACTGGGACGGTTCTCCCATTTAGGGTCTTCGTGCATCTATTATTCGAAGGAATTATCGAAATCGTGGACTAGTTGTTCCAAACAGTTATACGTAACGGACTAAGCAACTTTTAAGAGCCGATAGCAGCTTGTTCGAAGGGTCGTTCAGAATTTATAGAAACAATGTTAATGAATGGGCGTCACTGAAAATATTTGTCGATGCGATGCAATGTTTGAACTATGATTTGAAAAATTCTTCAGCAAAAATAAAAAGCATAAGAGTGTAAGAAAAATAATCGGAGATACACGCGCCAGTTTTCAAGCAGCGGCAACAACGTATTAAAAACATCTTAGATGTATAAACAGTTATAAACAGAATTTTTGAAAGCGATATTAATGGAAGAATAGAAGAATGAAAATGTTTGCCAATGTGATACAACGTTGAAAGTATTTTACAACAAATTTTGTAGCGAAGATAAGAAGTAGGAGGGTGTAAAAGAAAATAAGCAGAGGTATAATTTCAGGAAAAGGCGCTTGCTTATCGAATGAATAAACGAATAATCAAGAGGCAGTATATTAGTGGAAGAATGTGTTGCTGAAAATGTTTGCCAATGTGATACAACGTTGAAGATATTTCACAACAAACTTTTTAGCGAAGATAAGAAGTAGGAGGATGTAAAATAAAAGAAAAAAAAAAGAAAAAAAGCAGAGGTATGATTTCAGGAAAAGGCGCTTGCTTATCGAATAAATAAAGGAATAATTAAGAGACAGTATATCAACGGTTGATATGTTGCTGAAAATATTTGCCAATGTGATACAACGTTGAAGATATTTCACAACAAACTTTTTAGCGAAGATAAGAAGTAGGAGGATGTAAAAGAAAATAAGCAGAGGGGTATAATTCCAGGAAAAGGCGCTTGCTTATCGAACAAACAACATGAATAATCAAGAGACAATATTTTTGAGGAGTCGTGAAACGTTAACATGAACCATTGTGACGGCGCATAAAGCCTTTATTCACACTCGGCACGTCAGAATACAGCACTCGAGGAGCAACACGGTCCAAATCGGCGGTCCATCGCGGGCCATTAATTTCAAAGAACGGCTATCTTTATTCGCTGGCAGTAAAACGTGGTTGGGCAGCGGCAGCGCTTTTCGTCAGCCCTTTGTCGCGGCTCGCAATATCTCTTGTAATCCCAAATGGCGGTTCCGAAGTCATGGAAACTCGGCGACAAAGGTGAACAATGTCGAAAAGGGCTTCGAACAGCCGTCAAATCGTAAAATCGCGAGTCGAATCGAGTTTCCGTGTCACGTGAAGAGAAAGAGAGAGAGAGAAAGCGCGCGCGCGAGAGAGAGAGAGAGGGAAGGAGAGAGTCTTCCAGAATCTCTTCTAGATTTTTCGTCGCGGTATAAAATGAGAAAAGGCGACGCTCGCCCGCCGAAAGGAGCCTAAGTTCGCGGTAGAATGGAGCCGCGGTAGAACGCGACGATCTCCGAGGGAAATTGTCGACGACGGAGGAAGTTTTACGGGAGTTCGGCGGAAACGACGGTCATACTTGGCCGACTCAATGGGCATTCAGTCATCAAAGTGGTAACTTCGGGATCACGTGACCAGCCGCAGCAAATTCCAAGTAATTTAACTGCCTCGACGAACCGCCGCGTGCACCGTCGTCGTCATCGGCGTCGCCGCCGTCGTCGGGAAATTCGAGCGATCGGCTCCTCGAACCGGCGACCTCATAGAATCCACGACACGCGAGTCCTTTCGGGCGTGTTTCAATGCCGGTATCCGGCCGAGATTCCGGGACCAATCGATTTTCCAATTTATCGCGAATTCGTTCCCTACCCGCGACACCCGCTGATTGAAAACTAACTCTTTTTAGGGATTTTTAATCTACTCGTTACAGGTGTGCGACGTACGCTCGTTGTAATCTTCATCTTCGCCTTCGTTGCAATCTCGACGAGGATCGAGACATCTTTTTCTCCACCGGCGAAGATTCCGTTTTCTTTTCACCCTTTGAGGATGGATATCGGCACACTAACGATTTTAGATGTGCACATTTTATAGTAAACTTGTAAACTTTCGATTCGATCATTTATAGCACACAAGATCGAAATACATTGTTAATTTTTATATTACTTCTACGATGCTTCAGGTCAACATGACTGCAGAGTTTGTATTATATAATTAATATAACTAATATGACTAATATAACTAATGTAACTAATATAACTAATATAACTAATATAACTAATATAACTAATATAACTAACATAACTAATATAACTAATATAACTAATATGACTAATATAACTAATATAACTAATATAACTAATATAACTAATATAACTAATATAACTAACATAACTAATATAACTAATATAACTAATTTAATTATGAACTTTTACGAGACAAGTTGATTAAGCTCTGCAACTGAATTTTTACTTTCTTTTGTATTATATTTCATATTATTATATCCTTTCATATTGACTGGAATTAATATGTGGGCCATATTTTATAAATACACTAATTAATATTTTATAAATACATTAATTATATAAAACACGCCAATATTTATAATATTTAATTAACCATATCACGTTAATATTCACTTACGTTTCGGCCCTGGTCTGATCGCGTCGCTCACGTGCAGCTGTTTATATTTTTAGCTAATTCTCGTTGAATCGGGTTTAGCTTGCTTTATTATAACAGCCAACACACTCGGAACACTTTCCAGTCACTTTCCAGCCACTTCAATCAATACATTGATTATTGTGAGAGATCATGAATATGGCAAAAATATTTAATTTTGTGAACCGAAAGTGGTCGTAAACTCTTATTTCAAACAATTTCTCCAAAATTCGTAACGATTTTTCTTGACCACTGTTCGCATAATCTACGATCTTCTGACAGCTCAAAATTCAGATCATTTAATACCATCACGGATCGATACACCCCAAGATTTAAATTCACCGCGTACCGAAAATTATTTTTAATTTTTTATTATTTAGCTGATCGGTCAAAGATTTTCGAAAGTCACAGCACCACGCAACGGGAACGAAATAACTCGTCGCGTTATTTGCTAGATATCCCCGGGCGTCGAATAATGAATTGTTCGCCGTAAAATTATTTGCCGTCATTATTTCAGCCGGCGATAAAACGCGCGGACCATTTTATTGCTTCGGAAGCTCTTTCTCGATTTTACATTTAATTAGCACGTTTCTGGCGCGACACGGGTAATGAGACATGGGGAAATTATGTACACCGCTGTATTCTGGACGCGAAAGACGAAGAGAGAAAGAGAGAGAGAGAGAGAGAAAGAGAGAGAGAGAGGAGAGAGAGAGAGATAGAGTGGAGGAAAAAAATGTACACGGCAGAAGGGCGCGTTATTTACAGGCGGCTAAATCTGCGTTAAACAACGTCGCTTCCACGGAACGCTATTCGTCCAGAGAATACGGTTCGTTTATCAACGTTGTTTCACAGCCGTGTAGCCGGGAATTTTTCAAGGACCGCGGGATAACCGCAAGACGTCCGCCGAGAGTCACTTTGCAGACTCGCGGACGTAAAATTAAATGGCATCTGCCGGAGAATATTACACGCCCGCCCCTGGTTCGTGATTCAGATTCACTGGAGGAGTATGAATTCTGATGAATTTCTTATCGCCGGTAATTGACACGGTTTCCACCGTGCAGGCTGCCGGCACCGGCTCCGGCCGAAAATAATCGTCCGGACAAATCAAATCGGCGGACAAATCCCCAGCGCGACTGTGCAGCAGCACAATTGCAGTTTTAAATAATGCATCTTTCAATTAATAATAACGCCGTTGGTTATTTCTGATCGAACACGTGGCTCGTCGGTGAATTATAATAACCGAGGCTTTATTCGTCGAAAGCTTTCGGTCGGATGTAATTGTTTTATAGAGGAATCGACTGTTCGAAATGATAATCGTTTCGGTAATTACGTATTCTTTGAGAAATCGCAATGTTGAAATTATTGGAAGCGGATCAGTAATTGTATTCTTCATTATTCCTAGCATTTTGGCGAAGGCGAATTATGAAACCCAATATTTCACAATGTTAAATAAATTAGAGATTGGAATACTCAAAATCTGCCAACATCGTATAGAGAATATTTGAGCCGTTTATTTTGAAAGTGGCATAAGTCACTTTACCGTAATGAAAAGTGGTGATTCTGTCTCTTATACACATCTAGATGTGTATAAGAGACAGATCGTATAGAGAATATTTGAGCCGTTTATTTTGAAAGTGGCATAAGTCACTTTACCGTAATGAAAAGTGGTGATTCTGTCTCTTATACACATCTAGATGTGTATAAGAGACAGATCGTATAGAGAATATTTGAGCCGTTTATTTTGAAAGTGGCATAAGTCACTTTACCGTAATGAAAAGTGGTGATTCTGTCTCTTATACACATCTAGATGTGTATAAGAGACAGATCGTATAGAGAATATTTGAGCCGTTTATTTTGAAAGTGGCATAAGTCACTTTACCGTAATGAAAAGTGGTGATTCTGTCTCTTATACACATCTAGATGTGTATAAGAGACAGATCGTATAGAGAATATTTGAGCCGTTTATTTTGAAAGTGGCATAAGTCACTTTACCGTAATGAAAAGTGGTGATTCTGTCTCTTATACACATCTAGATGTGTATAAGAGACAGATCGTATAGAGAATATTTGAGCCGTTTATTTTGAAAGTGGCATAAGTCACTTTACCGTAATGAAAAGTGGTGATTCTGTCTCTTATACACATCTAGATGTGTATAAGAGACAGATCGTATAGAGAATATTTGAGCCGTTTATTTTGAAAGTGGCATAAGTCACTTTACCGTAATGAAAAGTGGTGATTCTGTCTCTTATACACATCTAGATGTGTATAAGAGACAGATCGTATAGAGAATATTTGAGCCGTTTATTTTGAAAGTGGCATAAGTCACTTTACCGTAATGAAAAGTGGTGATTCTGTCTCTTATACACATCTAGATGTGTATAAGAGACAGAATCACCACTTTTCATTACGGTAAAGTGACTTATGCCACTTTCAAAATAAACGGCTCATTTATCGTTTTCATTTATTCGAATCATTTCGTTACAGTGTTCTCTCTCCCCAAATGTCAAAATCTTGCTATGCCATGAATGACATAGCATGACTATTGCCGTGCCTATGTGATTTATCGATTTCCTCGCTACGCCGATGCGAAGATTCGTCGAAGTCGGTCAAGCGTGTGATGCGACACGCGACGTCGCTTCTTTGACTCGAATTTCTGGAAGACAACACGAAATGATGTGTTTGGGTGTGAGTCAGGTAAGAAAAACCGCGGAGCTACAAGTTACGTGGTAAGTACATTGGTACGTGAGCACCGAATCGTGGCATCCGTCCTCCGAATGTCGTCGAATAGAGGCAATCTGTCCTCGGAATGTCGTCACATTGAGACATCCCCTCTCTAAATATCAGTCGAATACAAGTCCGAACAGCATAACTTCATTAATATTTTCTTTCGAATGACATTTCTGCATACCATCTTTGACGTTGCCTTTGATATTTAAGAACCGGTTTTTCAAAATGTTTTTTTCGTAAATGAAATAAGTTAATTGCTACATATAATAAATAAATATTGTCTAAAGGATGCCGTATTTGGTCTCATTTTAATTGGAAGAATCCGACCACTATATTAAAAAAAATTTTCATGTATAAAAAATCAAAAATAAAGAAGTTAAGTCATCGCTTTTATTCCAGCATCACAATGTATTCGTAGTAATGTAAACCGGTGTGCTAGTCGCTGCCTTTCCGGGTATGTAGTTTCGTACGACCCGAGTTTCGTTCTCTCTCTCTCTCTCTTTCTCTCACGAAATGTCGGCATATCATATTATAAATATTTGTATTTTGTTTACATTATCACATGTATGTAGCAATTTGCATTCTTCATTTTACGATTGTCGAAATTGTAAAAAGTCTTCCTATTTAAGCAAATGAGTTAATAATAGTATATTCTAATATATAATAATAATTTATTTAAAAAAATAATAATAATATATAATAATAATTCAAGCAAACGTTATAATTAACAGGGAGTGCAGTTGCAGTGCTCGGTAAGTATAGCGTTAATTAATTAACATCCTGTTTTGCTTAAACACGGATATATTAATTACACGTGTATCCTCTCGATACACGTTCAAAATCGTGATCTCTAATATAAACCGTTCCAGTTTAATTCAACCGGTTGCATGCCCAAACCCGACTAGTGGAGGATCGTCTGCGGCCAGACTGTCGGACCAAGGAGACCGATCCATAACCCGTGTCCAAGACGCAACAGTCTCGAAGAACAAACCCGTACACTTCCGAAGATGGAGTTCCAGATGCGAGGATACTCACGCGAATCCGGCGGCTTGGTCACGTTCGCCATCCGAGCGGTGACCCTGAGACCGCTCCAGGCGCCATAGCTGGTTGCTCTGCGGGGACGATGTTCCCGGTAGCCGTGATACTTCCGTTGGTTCACCGTCTCCGCCAGCTGAGAATTGAACGAGTAACAGAATCCGTACTCGGTCTTCTGCAGCTCGAATATCTCGCAGCAGTCTCGGAACGAGTTCCGCCACCAGCAGCGCACGAACAGCTGGGAGCAGCTGGGCACCACTTGCAGCAGAACGTCCGTCACGTTCACATCTAAAATCGGAACGGTACTAAATTTTAGGAGGACCGCATTCGAACCGGTCCGTTTAAATAGTCCGGTCGAAGGTGTCGCTTTACTTTGTTCGTTCTTGTCTCGAGCCTAAAGTCGCTTATTTGGCGTGGGAGGTGTAGGGTACTGATTTAGGTAGTCCTTCAGCTGTCTACGTCTCCGTAAGTGATAAGTTAACCCTTTGCACTCGAAGCCAAATCAACGCAAAATTTAAAACAGTTCTTCCGACCCACGGTATTTCCATTTTATACAGGGTGCCCCAAAAATGTCTTGCAATCCGAAAGTGACGGGTTCCTTAGGTCATTTGAAGCAACTTTTTCCTTTACAAAAATTTTCTCCGAGGCACCGTTAACGAGTTATTAACGAAAAACCGTGACCAATGAGAGGCGAGATCAGCTGCCGCGAGGTGGCCGAGTCAACGGCGCCAGCGGTCGAGCGGTCGAATTCCAGCTCAGCTGGCGCGAGGCGGCCGAGCCAACGAGCGGAACTGGGCTTCGTGCGTTGGTTGTCTAGGCCGCCTCGCGTCAGTCGTACTCGATTCTTATTGGTCACTGTTTTTCGTTAATAACTCGTTAACGGTGCCTCGGAGAACATTTTTGTGAAGGAAGAAGTTACTTCAAATGATCTGAGAAACCCGCCATTTCTGGATTGCGAGACATTTTTGAGACACCCTGTATAACATACGCATTTTGAACATACGCAATTGCATTTTGCGACTCGTGCAACAGTTACGCTTTCAACACTTCTTGAAATATAAACGAATTTGATTCATAAAATTATTTCGAAAAGCGACGTAACAATTTTTAATGACGCCTCGGAGTCGCCACTAGAGTGCAAAAGGTTAATACAGTAAATTGGATTTTCTTTCTATGGACTTTCTATAGAACTCCATAGAAGGACGATCTAGTTAGAAAATAAAACAGCGTGACTCCGGTAGAAATTTTACCATCCGATTTTATCGTCGTACACTTAAACAAAAAGGCTCACAGTAAATTCTCCCCAATTTCCCCACAACTTCCATTGTGGAAACGTCTAAATCGTTCTACTCGGACAGACTGAACGAAGATGCTACTTTTTCATTTGTATATTTTCCACAGCAGTTTCGACCTATCGTTTCGTTTCATCTGAAAAATGTAGAATGACAGATAAACTATATTTTGAGCTGCCTACAAACCCGAGTCACAAAGTTCTCTGAATTAAAATTCAAATAATAAAATCGGATAATAAAATTGTTACCTGTAGACGCAATTCTAGACAGTCTTCGTACCTATATTTCCATTAAATGTTCCAAGAGATTCTATTAACAATATATGTATCTCGTACTACTACAATGTTACAATTGTAGTAAGTTACAATTTTATTTCCTGCTTCTGATCGACCAGCAAATTATCGTGAAACGGTTCACAACGAAATTCGCTATTTTTGTGGGATTGCTATTAAAAGCTACGAAACTTCCGGTTTCCAACAACTAGGCACCGCGGAGTTTCGGGACGGTTTAACGATTCCGCGGCGGCTGGGGTGGGCGGCGTACTCGTATAATTCAGCGAAATAAAGAGGACCGCACTAAATGTTGCGGCCCGAGAAAAAGTGGGCGGTGGCTTTTCTGGAGGGTTCTATTTATGCCAGCGCATTTGCATGAAAGTCGCGGCGGCGGCGGCGACGACGACGGTGTCCTTATTAAACGTTTTCCAGCGTTCGTCGTCTCGAAACAGCGCAACGAAATATCGTCCCCGGAGAGGAATTAAAATTTACCGATCGAGTCTAGTCGATGGAATTCATTCGGCGATTGAAAAATGCAATGGAATCCCGCTGGTGGCTGCATAATGAAACTCTGTCGAGAAATATGCATAGCGATGACGGGAAAGGAATTGTTCTCCGACGACCTTGAACCGTGAGCCGGTTTAATTGCAGTTGGACATCGATTGCCCGAGCAATGCTCGAATTCGCTACTATCCAAGCGCACTGAACATGTAAATATACAGGATGTCCCATAATTATGTTAACACTTGGAAAAGAGTGATTCTTGAGGTCATTTGAAGTAACTTTTTTGATAGCGAAAATGCAATTCGCGGCTCTGTTTACTATCAATTTACTATAAATTATTATAAATTGGAATTGAAACTTATTACAACTTATAAAATTATATAACTAACAATCTAACAAACTGACAAACCGGCAAACTGTCAAATTGACAAACGGACAGACTAACAAACTGACAAACTGATAAGCTAATAAACCTTTCCTGATGATTTATACATCATATCCTGCTAATGGACATTCCCGTAAATAAATAAATAAACAAATAAATAAAGAGATCGCTAATAATCGGTCTGTGGGTTTTATGCATTTAAGACAAAGCCGTGTATGTGATTGGACAGTTTTATAATGTTATAAAAATGATTGAAAGACAAGATAGACTTTTACTTTTCGTTTCCAATAATTGGACGAGCAATTTTCCTTTCGCGGAATGATCGACAGTCTGTTAAAAATTGGGGATTTTCGTTCACTTACCGGTCAGTCCATCGAGCCGACGCCGTTTCAAAAAGTCGAACAGTTGGAAATCGCCGAAGCTGATGACGGAAAGCTGGAGCATCACGTCCCGGAAGGTCTTGAGCGTCCGACGATCGGTATTATTCGGAAAAATCAGCTTCTCCAGCTCGAGGAGCTTGGTCCAATCGACACGATCGTTCGGACAGAGAGTGACGCTCGGGAACGGGACGCTGGATATTCTGTGATGCATCGATTCGATGCCGATTGACGTCGGCGCTTCCTAAAACCGATCGAAACCGGTCCCGCGAATCAGCCCCGGCTAAACGGATTCCGATCCTCGAATATGCAGATTTTCCATTATTCGACAGCCACTGGGTGGTCGGCCGACGAGTAAATGAATATTCTAAATAAATAATTGACCGCACAGGCTCCGTAATTGAATAGCGAATCGTGTTGGCGCGTCGAAAACGGACCGCGCCGCGCCGACAGCCTTTTTAAACTTTCACGGGATATCGGGCGATACGTCAATTAACGGGACCCGGAGACACCGGATCGCGGCCGGCTAATGAATCACCGCGGTTTTTGTTTGTTTTCTGATCACCCGCGAACTTCCACCGCGACAGCTTACGGTCACGTGACCCTAAACACGTCGCCGTGTGCTCGAAATTAATTCCCGTAGAACATTATTTCCGCTCGAATTCGGTGTTTCATTATGCTAACGTTCACAGCTAGACCGCGGCTTTCGCGTATGTATTAGCGGCGGATAAGCGAAATATGGAACAGCGAAAATAATGAGAGAATTTTGCCGTTTCTTTCGCCGTTAATAATATATAATTTTACATGGTATCCAAATGATTAAAGAACATTTCTAAAAGATGCAAAACAAATTTGCGGAGATAAAAGGATGATCCTTCGCAAGAATTATCGTCGAATGCGTTTAAATTTTTCCTCCAGCCGGGCTGCGGAGTTCCCTGCAAAATCGGGGTTTTTAATCGGCGAAAAACAGGAATTAAGTGGAAGCTAATTATAACGAGAAAGGGTTTTTCGCTAGATAAAGAAGAATATTAAATCAGTGTTGAACTTCGTGGAACTTCGTGTCTTGCTGGAAATTCTACCGATGGTTATAGACTGGGGACGATTATGCAAATTCGCGTCCTTAAAGTTTCAATTGATGAAAACTGTTATCAGATAAGAAGTTACCAGCTCGATAAAAAGTTCTTTACAGAGTTATTAAATTTATCGAGCTATTAGATTTGGGTCGAACGTTGTAAAAAATTTTTATCCTATCCGACCTTCTTCGAGGATGAAAGTTGAGATAAATGGATAAAGATCGACGGTGTACTTATCTTGTTACACTATACGTAAAATGGGCGTGCAATGAGCGAACGAGTTAGGGTGGATCTATTCGATTGCGCCGAGCATTCGAGGAATATTTAAATTCGATTTCCGCGGAGTTGCAAACAAGTTTCCACGGGGACTTCTCGAACACCTTGTCTAATTAATATTGCGACAGCTAAACGACGAAGGCACAGCCATCGGACAGTTCCGCGTCAGGGTTGAAAGCGATTACAATATCAATTCTGCTCCTTGAATCAGTTACAAGAACCGAAATAATGTTAAAATTGTTCTACGAGATGAATCTTTAGAACTTTATGAAATCCGCAAGTCTGCAAAGTACAAGTTCTATTGCGGCGAACTCGCAAATATTTAAATTATTCTTTCTTTAGTTTCACCAGAAAAAAGAAGTTAACAAATATCCGAGTTACTGTTCCTTTAATGGTACCAGAAAAACATTGACAAATATTCGCGTTACTGTTTTTTTATTTTTAGTTTTATCATAAAAAGATGACAAACACGCGAGACATATTTTCGTCAGTTTTGCAACTACCGTTTGCGAAATAAATGTTTTTCGCGGCCCTGTTATGAATATAAAAATGTCTTGTGTAACGAGTCAATAAAAATCAGTAGAATAAAACACCATTGTCGCATTGGTTTCGATTGAATGGAGATTGGTATCGAATCAATAGCGTCGATATTCGTTTATTAATTTCAAACATTGTCATCGGGTGTCGGCCGCTGCAATTTCAAAATATTTACAAACAATATCACACTTCGTTTCGCGCATAACTGGGCCGGAATAAAACCAAGCCGATCCAATAAAAACGTAGACTTTCGTGGAAATTTGTACTCCCATCGATAATTATTTTATTGCATCCAGTGCGAGGAGAACATTATTCCTCGCACTCGCAGACGATTGTACGAAGATATTGATCTCTATTTATTTACGCGCGTCCTTGCACTTTGAAAACTGAGACGTGCCACGAATGCGTCAAAATTCCTAGCCTAAAAAACTGTAGAAACGGCTATTTCGATTGCAACAACTAAACATTTCCAAATTCCGGGTCCTCTGTAATACAAAATAAAACCAAGCCGATCCAATAAAAACGTAGACTTTCGTGGAAATTTGTACTCCCATCGATAATTATTTTATTGCATCCAGTGCGAGGAGAACATTATTCCTCGCACTCGCAGACGATTGTACGAAGATATTGATCTCTATTTATTTACGCGCGTCCTTGCACTTTGAAAACTGAGACGTGCCACGAATGCGTCAAAATTCCTAGCCTAAAAAACTGTAGAAACGGCTATTTCGATTGCAACAACTAAACATTTCCAAATTCCGGGTCCTCTGTAATACAAAATAAAACCAAACCGATCCAATAAAAACGTAGACTTTCGTGGAAATTTGTACTCCCATCGATAATTATTTTATTGCATCCAGTGCGAGGAGAACATTATTCCTCGCACTCGCAGACGATTGTACGAAGATATTGATCTCTATTTATTTACGCGCGTCCTTGCACTTTGAAAACTGAGACGTGCCACGAATGCGTCAAAATTCCTAGCCTAAAAAACTGTAGAAACGGCTATTTCGATTGCAACAACTAAACATTTCCAAATTCTGTTTACGTAACGTATCAAGGCCGTTCCAATTACCTGAACTCTCTGTGTCAGATACAGCATGGCAGTCGCCGCCAAGATGGCGTGCGTAGCGAAGATGAAGAACCAGAGGAACCGTTCGATCCCGTGAAGGTGAGGATCGACGACGTATCTCAATCCGTGGACGGTCGCATTGGTGCAATAGTGTCGCAGGACGCGCAGCACGGCCCCCAGCCGCTTGATCTGATTCTTGCCGAGATTCGGTTTGATCCAGGCTAGCATCTTCCCCGGCACGGCGAGGTCCTTTGCCGAAGAATCTCTATTTTTCCCTTTGTCATTCAAATTCCGCAGACCGAGCCCGCTTTGTTAAATTTCACGGATTCCCCGTTCAGCCGTTGGCTCATCCGCCGTCTCTTTGTTCCTCGGCGAGAGCGGGTCTCTGCTTTTTCTGCAAATTCGTTGGATAATTATTATCGAACTTCTGTTCTTTGACGCCGGCCCCTGATATAGACCGAGGAATCTTTGCGCTCCCTGGCTCCGGCTGAGACACAGCAGCCAGTCGTGACTAGAATCCGACGGGCTGGCCCGATGAGGACAAATATTGGATTCGAACGGAACTTTATGGAACCTGGAATCAAACAGGCCTGGATTATAGCCGGGGGAGAGAATCCTTGTCCGATAAACTTCGGAGCAGTTTGTTATTCTTCGAGTTCCTTCGATATTCGTTGTTTGTCGAGCGCTACAAAAAAAATGCAACTGCGATAAATTCATTATACGGAATTTTCGACGTGCAGCCGAATGTGTCTTCAATCTTAACCAGTTAACTGTGGCGATCTCTTTGCAAAGCGGCCACCAGTGTGTGTCGCGATAATTTAGCTAGCTCACTCAGGAAGTTATGAATCCAACTCAAATTATTTATAATTTTCATTTGTTTGTTTCACTTCGTCTTGACCTCTAAACATTTTAAACATGTTAAAATTTACGAATAGTATTCAGTTTTCGCCAGAATTACAATTTAAATATGAAATTGTGACAAAATTTTACGGACGACGGATATAATCGTCGTGACACAAAATTCTGCCACATCTCCATGACGGATATAGTCGTCAAACACACTTAACTGGTTAAGAGATGGAATGTTGGCATAACATTCGAGTTACGTCGACTCGGACTCGCGACGGAGAATCTAGCCCATTGCATTGCGATTTCTTTCACGGGCACGTTGATTGGCACTTTTTAAGAATTTCTGCTATAGAACGGAGCATTTTCGTCTCCTGTATATAGTAATTTCTCTCAGAAATGTTCGGAAGTTGGAATTGAAACCGACAGATCTGAGAACACAAAGTCGCGACTCTTCGAGCCTCGCGGCTCGTTTTTATAGAAACTCGGGACAGTCGGCAAAAAATGGCAGCGGCCAGCATGTCGGTGTATATTAATATGAATACATAGACGACTTAACTTTTTTATTTCTAATTTTTTGCCACGATTCGAAGGCAATTCGGAGGCCACATGCCACGATTTAAAAGAAATTCGGAGGCAACGTGACACGATTCGAAGGCAATTCAGAGGCCATATGTCACGATTCGAAAGCAATTCAGAGGCCATACGTCACGATTCGACGGTCACGTACCTGTTATCTACCACCCAAACAGACCACTTTGTATTGTCTTCCGGGAATCGCGTCGCGTGCCGCATCACATGCTTGACCGACTCCGACGATCTTTAGCATCGACGTAGCAACAAATTACATGGACGTAGGACTAGCACAAAGAAATTCACAGCAACCCAAAATTTAGCATTTCCGAGGGAAATCACAGTATCTTCAATAACTTCTATTCCTAAACTTTGATAACAGAAGAATCAAATTTTGTTTCGATTTAGAAGAAATGAATAATATTAATTGTTAGTAGACCAGGTACGAAATCTTCGTCACTAGTCTGACTCGTTGTTACAATACAAGGAGGTAAATGTGCATGTATGTGTACAAATAGTAAATCGATATCAATTTTCTTTCTTTTGCAGGAAATTATGAAGAACAAAGAAATTCCAATCACTGCATAATACTTCGTAAGGCAAGTTATTGAAGCAGATTTGCCAACTGTAGATTGCAACATACTTTACGTTTTAACACTATATACATATTGTTGGGTTTATGGAATGAAAATGAATATGATTCTAATTCTTTGCTTAAAAGGACTTTATTTTATTCCTTTATTGAGAGAAGGTATATGGGCGAAAACGATCGAGCGACCAAACTCTACTGAGAGTCCGGTAAGAAAAAACGCTTCTTTTATACCCTTCTTGGGTTCGTCTTATCCACCAATCAGAGACGTTTTATTTGTCGCGTTCCACATTGTATACGTGACGCTGGGATCCCCAAACAGTCAGGGCACGATGTATATCTAATGGTACCGGTGATGATGTATCGCGGTATCTACTATATACAGTTTACATCACCGTCTTTGCCCGCTGACGGAACCGACGAAAATGTAAACCGATATCTTAGTATCTTAGTACTAAGTAAACTATAGATTAATTTTTGTTCGTTGTTAAAATTTCAACAATCGGGAATATCGTTGTTCCCCATAGGCGTGATACAGTAATTTCTCCCAGGAATACGCTAATTTCTTCCTAATTCGCGGTGAGATCGCACACGAAAATGGACAATTTGGGAAGAGGGGATACGATTATTCGAGCCTTGCGACTCGTTTTTATAACTGTTGACAATCGGTATATCATGTCCAAACTATATCATGTTTGGTCTCATTTCAATTACAAAACTATCAGCAATATATT